GTGGTCGACACAAATTGTTGAAAGAACTCTACAGTTGTAGAAAAACCGTTGATTCGCAAAAGGTAGGATTTACAGGTTCCCTCATCCCTACTGTATTTTCTCAGTAGCTGCTATGACAATAACGATATGGCAACCTCTTCATCATGTTCAGCAGTCTTTATGACATTATAAAAAGGATAAAATCGAGCTTATTGAAAATATTTTTTTTAGAAATCTATCAAATCTGCGGTGCCAGATGATTCCTCGTTACCTCCTCAGGAGTTTGTAACTTTTAAGAAGTTTCTTTACTTGGCATCTACAGGGAATTCAAGAGAGGCAAGAGAGTTGATGTATGAAAAGGGGTACATGTCATCCAATGCAACTCCGGTCAAGACCTTCAGACCAAAGTTCTCGTTTCTTTCTCCGCTGGGAGTACAAGTGTTGCAAAGATTTTTAGATGAAAACCTAGATGATTACGAGTACTGATTTTGTCTTACCCTTATTTCAATCGTGTGACCGTGTGATCGATGATTCTGTGTGTTGCAGTCTTCCAGAACGTTGTTTTGCTGCGCGCAATGCTCGCTCTCGTAGTCAAGGTGATATTCGTTCACCGACTCCGTTTCTCTTGCCCTCTACCCACGTCGCTCAGTGCGTTTTCGCAACGCTTTTTACGTTTAGTTGTCCGTCTTTGTATTTGTTTGAATTTATTTCATTGATCTCAATGCTTTCGGTTCATGAATGATGTGATACTTCCTTTGGTTCCTTATCTTCCTGTCAATTTTACTTTGATTTATAATAAATTATGTCTATCTCGTTGTTGGCATCGTAGTCTGCAACAGCACATCATAGTTCGTACGCAAAATTTGTATGTCCTTCAGTATGACGGACGGTGGGTCGTCTGCTGGTGATTTTCCACCAAGTGATTTGCTCACATTGGATATGTTCACAATAGAGAAGAAAATAGGCAAAGGGATGTTCAGTGAGGTCAGTCATAAGAATGTCCTCATGTCACAGTTCGCATTTGCCGATCTTTTGCGATAGATTTTATCTGATGAAGGATGTAATGTCATGATAAAGTATGATTGTAAGACACGATAGGTCT